GACCCTCGTGTGGGTCACATAATGTGGGTGAAATCTATGTGGGTTGTATTATATTAGTGACGCTCGTGTGGGTCACATAATGTGGGTGACATCTATATAGGTTGTTTAATATGATTGACACTGCTATGGGTAATATAATTTGGCTGACATCGATGTGGGTTATATAATAAGGGTGACATTGTTGCGGGTTTTATACATGCGTACTATGGTCGACATCTATGTGGGTCATGTAATATCGGTGACATTGATGTGGGTAAATTAATATGGGTGTCATCTAAATGGGTAACATAATTAAGGTGATATCGTTATGGGTCAAAGCGTTGTAGTTCATATCGTTGTGGATCCGATTATTTGGGTGAATTTGCTTTTTATTTATTAACGACAGACAGCACCCCAACCTTACTTAGGGCAACGTGTCCACATTACTGTTAAGAATACAAGAATATGAAGTAAAGATAATCACAGCCAAGCACGAGAGGCAGACCGGATGAAAAAGATGTCTTGTTAACAAGCAGAGGACTGGCACTTTTATGGATACATCTATGTGTATTACACCATCCCCTGGACATAAAAAATTCACGAGACCTGTTCCGCCAAAATCCACAGAACTCGTCAAAAGCAAGCAAAAAGCAATCTTCCTATTACTAACTAGGCGTAAGGGAACAAGTAGAAATCTTCATTTTACCAGCTGGGAAAAAGAGAACAAGTAGAAATCTTCATTTTACCAGCTGGACAAAAGAGAACAAGTAGAAATCTTTATTTTACCAGCTGGACTAAAGTTAACAAGTAGAAATCTTCATTTTACCATCTGGACAAAAGAGAACAAGTAGAAATCTTCATTTTACCAGCTGGACAAAAGAGAACAAGTAGAAATCTTCATTTTACCAGCTGGACAAAAGAGAACAAGTAGAAATCTTTATTTTATCAGCTGGACAAAAGAGAACAAGTAACAATATTCATTTCCATAGCTAGACAAAAGAGAACAAATGCAGTATTTATTTAGCTAGATGGACAAAAGAGAGCAAGTAGCAGTCTTCATTTTACCAGCTGGACAAAAGAGAACAAGTAGCAGTCTTCATTTTACCAGCTGGACAAAAGAGAACAAGTAGCAGTCTTCATGTTACCAGCTGGACAAAAGAGAACAAGTAGCAGTCTTTATTTTACCAGCTGAAAAAAAAAAGAGAGCAAGTAGCAGTTTTCTTTTTACCAGCCGGTCAAAAGAGAACAAGTAGAAGTCCTCATTTTACCATCGGACAAAAGAGAACAAGTAGCAGTCTTCATTTTACCAGCTGGACAAAAGAAAACAAGTAGGAGTCTTTTTTTTACCAGCTGGACAAAAGAGACCAAGAACCAGTCTTCAATCAACATCCAGTTTTTTTGTCACTTGGAAAAAGTATTATTGAGACGATTGAACTGATGAGACAGGTTTATAGAGATCACTGCTTTTCTCTGGCGCATATTTTTAGGTGATTTTCACGACTTGTGGAAACGATTAAAGATGATACAGGGCATTCGTCATGCCACCGCAGGGCAACAGCTTTGACGAGCTTGACAAACCAGGAGAGGGTAGCCGACCTGGTTGCACATCACTCGATGATCGGGATATGCCTACCCTGCATGCAAAGACTGGACGGCGGATTGTGCGGATGAAACCTCTTATTGTTCAACAGACAAGAAGGCGATTACCTGCAGGTTTCTTGGAGAGCTTTGCGCAACGAAAGGCACGTAAGACGCCTTGGTCATTCACTGCACCTACGTCCATCTCCAGTTGTCTCGACCTTATCCTGCCATTGCATCAAGATGTCCTGCCATTGCTTCAGTCTTATTCAAGTCCTGTGGCAATGCACGAGCAACGAAGCGGCAGTCGTGAGGGTATGGTCTACTATAATACCCCTTTACGTTTTTATTCTAATAAAGTAAATGCCTGTGATATAGGTTGCAACACTCTCTAGGGGTTGCGGGTTAGACCCAGTTTGTAAATGTTTTGGTAGTGTTAAAAGCGCTGGAGGGCTTACATATACAACACGCGATAGAAAGGCATTGCTGATTACCCCTCTAGCAGTGTGCGAAGGTCGGGTGACTGGAGGTCGACCAATCAGGAGTTAGCTAGTGTGTAAGTGGGAAGATTATAACCGTCGTGAGTTACGTTGGTAGCTGTATCCACAGACCTGGACGCAGGCGGCTCAGGCTTGATAATCGTTGTCCGCTGAGTAGTGGACTTCGGCAGCCACCTGAGCGACTGAGCAACCCTCTTTAGGATAGCACCGCTCACCTCGATGGCATAAGGAAAGAGCTAGAAAAGGTGCCCTAAAAATTGCCTGCTCCGCCACGCCCCGACCAGCCGCTATTCTGTTGACAAAAACGAAAACTGAAGACCTGTAACAAAGCACTAAAGTTCGGCTCGTGAAACATCTCCTTCTCATGAATAAAGACAATGCATCTGCATATGAAAGACGAACGGCCCTGAATGGGAAAGAATATCGGCGATTACAACATTGACCTTGCAACCCTGAGAGAGATTAGACTTTCTGGTGAGTGCGAACTTTGCCAGGTTGGTGCAGGTTACACATTTTACTGGAGATGTAGAAGTCCTCAAAAACGCAGAGAAGCCGGAGTGGGTTTTGCAGTGAAGATCACATTGGTCAGTAAACTGACTAAACCTCCTAAAAGTAAAAGTAATTGGCTCATGGTGATGTCAGTACTGTTTAACGGAAAGAAGAATGCCACAATCTTAAGTGCATATACACCAACATTGACTAACACAGACGAGACTTTAAACGCCTGCTGGATGTTATCCTGTCAGTACCAAAAGACGACAAGCTTGTCATCCTCCGTGATTTCAATGCTAGAATGTGTACAGTCTTCAACACGTAGGATGGTATCACTTGAAGACATGCAGTTTGAAATTGTAATGGCAATGGGCTACTGCTGCTCCAGACCTGTGCAGAACAGGAACTAATTATTATAAACACTTTATTTAGCCTCCCTACCGGTAACAGAACCTGCTGGATGCAACCCCGCTCTATACAGTGGCATCTTATTGATTATATCCTAGTGAAAAGAGCGACAGATAGGACGTACGGGTAACAAAGTCTATGTGCGGCTCTGAATGTTGGACAGATCATCGTCTCGTCGTTTCGAAAATAAATCTCTGAACTGAATCACCAAGACCACCAACGAGAAAAAAGACTTATTAAAAAAAAAACACACACACACACACACAAAATAACAACTCAGCATCTGCAGGCTGAGAAATGAATACACGAAAGATCATTTTGTATCCACACTGGAAGGTCGTTTATTATCTATCTCCTTAGACTACCTACATTTGGAAGAAACATGGCCCCCTCTAAGAGATCTGTTCTACAACACAGCTTTAGAGACACTAGGACCAGTCACGAGGAAACACCAGGATTGGCTTGACGAGAACTTAGAAGATGTTCAGAAACTACTAATGGAGAAACACCGTATCAATAAAGCTTTGTGATGATCCAAATTCAATATCAACGGACTCCTTCAGTAATATTAGAAGAAATGTTCAAACCACATTTCGACACATGCGAGACTTGTGGCTAAGCAGTAAAGCTGATGAGATTTAGTTTTGTTTTTGCAGACAGGCATGAAATAAACGATCCTTTGATGCTTTAAAAATATATATGGGCCTAAGCCACTACTATCCTGTCGCCTTCTTATCAAAGAAGGAAGTACACTACTCAGTGACAACGATGCAATCCTCAAACGTTGGGCTGAACACTTCAGCAATATCCTGAAACTACAGTCATCCATAAACTAAGAAGCTATACACAGTTTGCCTTAGGTCCCTTTAAATACAGCTCTAGATGAAACACCAACTCTTCTGGAGACCGGGCTGTCTAGTGCTAAAGCTCCTGGTCTTAATACGATTTCAGTGCAAGTGTTAAAAGAAGGTGGACTTGAAAGATGCAACATCCATACACTTGTATAAACGTAAAGGAAACCACCAGGTATGTAATAATCGCCGTGGAATCCCTCTTCTGTTTATTGCTGGTGAAATGCTCCATAGAATTCTTCTAAACCGTCTTCCAGTGCATCTTGATCAAGACCTCCTGCCTGAGAGTAAATGTTGCTTCCAAAAAGAGCGGGGGACAATTGACATGATTTTTGCTGCTCGCCAGCTCCAGGAATAGTGTCAAGAATAAAACTGCGACCTCTGTTCTACCTTAATAGACCTCAAAAAGGCCTTTGATACAATCAGTAAATGAGGACTGGAAAATCATGGCTAAATATGCCTGTCCTCAGAAGTTTATCAGGGATTGTACAGCATTTCTATGAAGGTATACATGCCAGAGTGCTGGAGAAGGGTACATTGTCGGACCTTTTCCCCGTCTCAAATGTTGTGAAGCAAGGATGTGTGCTGAACCAGCTTTGTTCACTATGACATTTGCTGCACTGCTTGTCAGTGCCTTTAATAAAGACGATACAGAAATTGCTTTAAATGACCGTATAGATAAACCTGTTGTTATTTATCAACCGACCCCCGGAAACAAAATTACTACATTGATACCATCACCGTAAATGACCAAAAGTTAAATGTCGATCAATCAATTTATCTGAGCAGTACCCTATGTAAAATGTAATGTCGGGAGATGTGAACCAGCGTCATTGCACACGGTTATAAACCATAGGTGCTTTGCCACCAGTACGGACAGCTGATAAGAAACTGTCCGCCTCTGCCGCCGTCCGCAGGTAACTCCGTAGCTACAGTGACGTTCCTCCGTTCACCCCAGAGTGTCAACTCTGGTACCCATTTCCTAGAGGATGGGTGAACCCCAGGAACCGCCCGGTGTAAGTAATGGTGGCAGTATAGAATACTAATCGTGGTTGCTGTGGTAGCAGAAGTAGCTGTAGTAATAGTACTAGCAGCAGCAGCAGCAGCAGCTGTAAAAATAGGAATAATAATAATAATGATAAACTTACATCTCTGTTCTTACTATTTAAAAAAACAACCTTACAATACACAGGTTCTCTTTCTGGGAGACTCAAACGGGCGAGAAATTTACCGTGATTTCATATCCAGAAGCTCATGCAAAGTGCAAATCTCTGAAGACAAGATTCGCTGGCATAAACCCCTAAAGTGTGCCAATGAATCACTTAATCTGACCATGGAATGGTTTCCACATTCTCATCCTTTCTACACTGATAGTGTGAGTTTATTTTTTTAAAAATTTAATTTTAAAATCTTGTTTGTTCCAGCTCGAACACGGATATAAAGAGGTTTGCCTCTTGATAATGACACACACACAAAAAAGGCACATAAGATTCCTGCCAATAAAGAGAATATCTCATAAAGCACGATACCTTACATCCAGCGTCTCAGCAAAGATGACGTGTCTGAACATGTTGCCTCTTAGCTTCGGATTGTGCTTTGCTCATAGCCGTCTAGGGAGATAATGTGATGGTTTTTCCCCCTCCCAAAGTGTGTCCACTTAAATGATATGATGATAGCCATGATGTAAAGGCATTGCAGACAAGAAAAAAGAGGCCTTTGAGCTCAACTGTAACTGACAGATTCTCAAAATACTATGCACAAAACAGAATATGAATTCTTACATCCTAAAAGATCTGATTAGGGAATTTCTTGTCTCTGAAACTAAAATAGTATGCCTTATGTTAAGCCCCAATGCAGATTTCAAAGTGTAATAGAAGAAAGCGTGGTATAAAAAAAAAGAGGGCCAGGGGCCAACCAGCAGGAAGCTGTAAGGATGTAAGTCCCACGTTGTGTAGGAAAGGATGGAGTGCTCGTGAGAGACCGAGTTTCTATTTGGCAAGCCGTGATACGGACAAAATTTTACAAAGGACCTGCTACATAATGATGAAGAGGGACATTTCTATGACTGATTCTGCCACTTAGATGTGAAATGTCAGATCCTCACATATTCTAGGTCATATTTTAATTATGTGGGTGATAAGATCTCTACCTGTGCTTCATTCGGATGTGTAGGCTTTAGAGCGCAGATATGGCAGTTTGGTTGTTAAGAACAACACATCACGTTAACTTCCGTTTCGGCCGTTATTAGTTTGGTCTCTGCACATTTTGTTATTATTTTGACTTTGTGACTCATAAATAGATTGCTTTACGCGAAAAACGCGAAAAGTTAGGGGATATGCAGGTTAAACGAAGTTACAGGCTAGACATGAAAGAGTACTATATTATTCACAAACTTTTTGTTATAAGCATGAACAGTTTTTGCTGAAACATCTAAATAGGAGGCCAGGTCACAGTCTTTCGCCTACAGAGTTGCACACTCAGCAAACACAAACACTTATATAAATTAGGCATGAGCCAGCATCTTACTTCAAGTGTCTTTATGCTGAACAGACTCCAGAAAACGTTTGCAAGACTGTCCTCTCCTGGGCGAGCTGCCAATTAACATGTAGCGATACCCTGTAGACCTGACAACTAAGCTTTGGAAAAGTCTAAAAGACATTGAACTGACATCTCAGTTCATGATCTTTAGTGGATTAGATGCACGTCCAGAGATTGCTGAAGAAGTTCACAAAATTTGTAAGGTTTCGCATCCGGCATACCTTCTTGTCAGTGAGGACAATACAGATCCGCCATTAGACAGTAATGGTGGATACATATAGAATCGAATTTACAGTAGCTTAAAAGAAAAGCGAACCTATTTCTTCATTATGGATACAGAAATATTAGGTATTTTCCCTTTCGGGTAACAAGAAGTTACCTTACCCTCAAGTCAAAACAGCATTTACAAAAAAAAAAATCTCTGAATTAGTCTGGATTATCAGAAAAACAAATTAATGTCACCAAAGCTTGAAATACTGAAGCACTAAAATTAATTTTTTTTAAAGATGCGACAGAGGACCAAAGTCGTATATACATGTAAAGGAATAATTATGATTGCTAAAGTAGAAATTATAATAGCTGTTATCGTTTCCAGGATGCCTGGGCCGACAATAATTGGATTACAGCTGCAAATAAAGTCATAGATGCCATACCCAGCAACGGAAGACACTTTGTCTACATCAATCACTTCCTCCATTTAACTAGCACACACATCAGTGCTTATGTGGCAATGATGACCGCCATCAAGGAATCTATTAAGAGATTGTTGATGAGAAATCCTGACTGTTTTCTAGTTATCATTGTAAGTCGTAACACATGTCTGTCTGTCTGTCTGTCTGTCTGTCTGTCTGTCTGTCTGTCTGTCTGTCTGTCTGTCTGTCTGTCTGTCTGTCTGTCTGTCTGTCTGTCTGTCTGTCTGTCTGTCTGTCTGTCTGTCTGTCTGTCTGTCTGTCTGTCTGTCTGTCTGTCTGTGTGCGTGCGTGCGTGCGTGCGTGCGTGCGTGCGTGCGTGCGTGCGTGCCTGGATGGATGGATGGATGGATGGATGGATGGATGGATGGATGGATGGATGGATGTATATATGTATGTATGTGTGTGTATGTGTGTTTATGTGTGTGTGTGTGCGTGCGTGTGTGCGTGCGTTCGTGCGTGCGTTCATGCGTGTGTGTGTGTGTACGTGTGTGTGTGTGTACGTGTACGTATGTACGTATGTACAATAATGCTCCATGGTCAGACGCTATAGCCATATCAAACAGATAGGTAGTGATGAAATACTACGAGTTGTGAAGGAATTTAATGATAGTATCCAAACGTCAAATGTACCAGATGTACTGGTGGCAGAGCACTTATGGTTTATAACCGTGTCAATGACGCTGATTCACATCTCCCGACTTTACTTTTTTTTTTAACTACAGAAGGCCATTGTTTTGTGGTGCTCTTTAAATAACAGAATTTGAAAGGCAGGCTTGCCTAATTTATCCATGAAGGGTATTAATGTTGAAAGAAGAGATAAGTTGAAATACTTAGGTTTGACGATTGACCGCAGTCTGTCCTACATATATCACGTGGAGCAGACTGTGATCAAATGCCTGGCGGCACTGAAGACGATGGTGGCGACACACAAAGAACAGAAATTATTGGCCCTACACAAGTCTCTTGCTAGGACATTCTGACCCATTACTCTCCTCGCCAAATGTTATCAAACCTACACACGTGTTTAATTGTGTCTTCAGCTTGCGCCATCCAAGACCTTCATCTTTTAAATCTGAGACCCTTAGCTCTGTATAGGTTTCATGCAGCAGGTGTTTCTCTTATCTGCGGCTACTCTGAGTTATGACAGACTGCAGCACTTTCAGTACATTTGTAATAGTCGGCAATGCATGTATATATCGCATACACATTACAAGATTATCTTTTGTACATCTTATAATTACCCTCTGGGCTTCATACTGTATGCGTTCAAATTTCATCATCTGACACTTTGACGTGATAAACTCGCCAAATCCATAAATTATCACCAACAGAATTGACTGCTGGAACATTTGAAACAACATTCTTTGTTCTGTATCTATGGCTTCCATATTCCTAAGTTCATTGATTCCTTTTTTGCATTTCGCATGAACTGCTTCCACATTATTTATGTAAGACACGCTTCTATCGAAAATGGTACCCAAAACCCTTAGTTTGCTTTCTCTGTTGATGTTTCTGTCATTAATTGTGAGACCTGGAACACTAGCTCTTACAATTCTACATTCCAGAGAGCACCATAAAACAGCCGCCGTTTCAGATTGGATGATAGCACCCATTTCTGCACTCAAGTCAGTCATTGTGACTACAGTTGCTTGTAGTTCTTGGGCTGTTTGTTGCCCGTTGCTCTTCTGCCTATATGCAAGAACATTCTCTGAATGTGTCAATATCCTTCTAACCCATAGTGCTTCAAGTTCTGCAATCACGCTTGTATACATTGAAGAGCTCTGGTGAAATTGCAGAAGTATGGGGTAATCCCGAGCCGATATTGCATGCTTTTGTTGTCCATGTACCCGGGCGGAGGGCGACTTTAAGTAAATGCAGGACAGCTGCTATCTAGTTTATAAGCCTGAAACACACCTCCTTCTCCACGAGCCCAGATATCAAAATATCATATCTGACTATTGTAAGCATCCTCAAGATCAAGGGTCGCCACCACCGCCGCCTGTCTGTCTGGAACCCCTCATAAACATCAAAGGCAAATGTGGCCGCCTAAGACCGGTTATCTTTCTCTGACCGGTAACTGCCAAGACATCTTGGCAAGAGCTCTTTCATTTCTAAAAAAAAAAAAAAAAAGCCTGTAGTTTAACAGCAATAATTTTCTCAAACACCTTTCCAAAATCATCTTGAATGATCTTTGTTTGGTTTTGTCCAGAGTACTGGCGCTGTTCTGATGCTCTCGTTGAAGTAAAAAGCAATCTCCCTCTAGTCTTCATCACTCAAGTCCTTCATGTTGCCATACCTGACTCTGTATGGCCCCGCTCAGTGTCGTTTGCTTCCTGCAAGATATGTTTTTTATCACCCACATTAATAATCTCTTGATAACTGTCACTACTGTATGTTTTACAACTTTTTAGGAAGGTGAAGACGGCGGGGGGGGGGGGGGGGGGGGGCCTTGAGCCTGAGGATTTAGTGACGCCTGGCTAGTTGTCGTCACGGACTGTGCAGATTAGTATGTTTTATTTCTGACCGAAAAACTCACTTTACCAGGTGTCGAACCCGGGTCTCCAGCACGAGAGGCAGACATTGTAACCCCTTCGGCTAGTCGCTCCTCTTCTCCTGATAGCAATTATCATTACTGGTATTGAAAAGATCATCCCTAACTAAATTTTCTCATCATTATGATCAGTTTGTGCTATAAACCTCTGCAAAAATGCTTCCCCCCCCCCCCCCCTTATTTTTGTCTGTTGTCATGGGTGTACCTGTATTTGTGTATATAATGCCTGATGTGATATATCGATCCGTTCTTTCATAATCCTGTGAAATTTCCAGAACATACCCAGGGATTTATCATCTCCAGTTTCATTCATTCAATTTTACCATTTAGTCTCTTTTTTTTGGGGGGGGGGGGGGGGGGGGGGGGGGGGGGCATATTTTTCACGCCATTTGAACTCTTCTACATTTTCTCTTGTTTAACCTGTTCTACCTTCTCTACCGCTTCTTGTAACCTTTTCACAATTTCTGTAATTGTTCAACTGCTGCTCTCTTTTCTTTCCATGCCTGCTCATCTTCCTGAGTAAACCACGGAGTCTGCATAAACGCAGAACGGGTGGTTCTATTGCACACCTTCTTCCTAAGCGATAAGGTGATGATTAAGAAGAGATAAAACAGCAAATAATTTTTTTTTAGATTGTACAAACTAAAGATCTGGAAATTTCCCCCTTTAGCACATTGAATGTATATTTGTCTATGCTTTTTTTTAACGTCTTTAAATATTCGTTACATGTATAATATGTCTATACTTTTTTTTTTACGTCATCAAATATTAATCCCCAGGGGCCTTTCACTGTTTTTTCGTTTGGAAAACGACCAACCACTTTCGTTGGGGACATGCCCAGGCTGTGGATTGCCAGCATACAATATGAAATATTTGAAGATTTGAGAGATCGCATTTATTACATCCCGATTTCAGACATGACCATCGTGACAGCCAATAACGACCACCATCCTGGCGTGAACGGGCAGATCTCAAACCAGCTGACTGGATTTTTGTGTGGAAGACAGTAGCTTGTCTTTGATATTTGCAGCAGGGAGCAGCGTGGTCTCTATGTATGGTGACCGCCTCGCTAGAAGTCCCGGGTTCAGGCCCAGGTGAAGGCTGATTCATTGCCGTGTTTTTCATTACAGTATGCTAGTCAATAATTCATATGTTCTTTTTGTAATTGTTGGGGACTTTACTTGAGGTTTCTGTTGATATATTTCCCATATTATGCCTCTGCACTCTCCTCAATGGTTTTTGAATTACTATTTGGGAAAAAAATATCTGGATGGGTTGAGACAAGTTTTTACAAATATGTATCAAATGGTTAAGTTGCACAGGTTTGTTTTCTATGAGGAATGTCGACATAGGGATCGGTAGGGATTCTAATAATTTGCTTCTCAAAATGATGTCAATTAGCAGTTTGTAATTGCTTCTTACATTTGCTGCGTCAACGCATTTTTTAAAAATATATTGTTATTCAAACAAAAAATCTGTAAAGGTTCGGTTATTTTTAGGCATTAAACCAAGGTATTTCTTTCTGTATCCTGCTTTATCTAGATTGTAGTGTTTCATTATCCTTTCTTTAATGTACCCAATCTCTTGTCTCTTTTTTTATCCTGAATGGATTTCAAATTTTTCAAAAGTTCGAACGCTAAGTGTTTCTGAAGAAATAAAGCTAAATCTCCATTGGGAGCTTTATGAATACGCATTTATAATTTATAATCCACGCTGCAGCGTCGCCATGTTCATTGTAATACCTAACAATTCCACTGTTTTTCCTATACTTGTTCTCTTCTACTTTTAGTCTCTCCTTTTTAACTACAGCTTCTTTTCTAGACTCGTTTTCAATTTCTTTGTTTCTTCTTCTTCTTTTCTTCTTCTTCTTCTTCTTCTTCTTCTTCTTCTTCTTCTTCTTCTTCTTCTTTTTCTTCTTCTTCTTCTTCTTCTTCTTCTTCTTCTTCTTCTTCTTCTTCTTCTTCTTCTTCTTCTTCTTCTTCTTCTTCTTCTTCTTCTTCTTCTTCTTCTTCTTCTTCTTCTTCTTCTTCTTCTTCTTCTTCTTCTTCTTCTTCTTCTTCTTCTTCTTCTTCTTCTTCTTTCGTTCGAATAAATTTTGTTTACCTTCATTCTTTCTTTCTCTTTCTTTCTTTTCTCTCTTCTTCTCTTTCTTCTTTCTTTTTTTTCTTCTTTTTTCTCTTCTTCTTTTTTCTTACTTTCTTCTTTCTGTTTCTCTTCTTCTCTCTTTCTTCTTCTTCTTCTTCCTTTTCTTCGTCCTCTTCTTCATTCTTGTCTTCTTTTTCTTCTTCTCTCTCTTCTTTCTTCTTTCTCTTTCTTCTTTCTTCTTTGTTGTCTCTACTGTCTTCTGTCTTCTTTTCTTTTTCTTCTTCTTTCTTCTCCTCTTCGCTCTTCCTCTTTCTTCTTTCTTCTTTTTGTTCTCCTCTCTCTACGTCTTTCTTCTAGCGTTCTTCCTTTCTCTTCTTCTTTTCGTTCGAATATTAACTTAACTGTCTTCTGTAAAGTTTTACTTGCACCGATATTTCTCCTGGCCAAAAGTTTTGCATTGATATGTTGTATTTA